CTACCATATTAAAGAAGGCAACTTAAGAAAATTAAAACAATTTCTAAATTTGTCCATCACTTAAAACTTAATTTAATGGGGAAAAAAAAAAGACTTCAAAAAATTTTCAAGCAAAACCCATGTATCTTAGAACCACAAACAAACAGAGAGAGTAAAAATCTTGGCTATTGATGAACTTACCTCTGAATTTACATTTGACAAAGATGGACCAAAAATGAAAGCCAACCCAGAAGGCCCATCGTCCTTAAGTACGAGACCGGTAATGATGCTAAAAGTACCAGCGCTGATGGCTGCATTTCAAGGGCCACTATTGAACCAATCTGCTTCTTTCTTAACAGAGGAAGAGGCCATGCCATGGGCATGGCGTTAGGGGAATAACAATATCTAACAAAGGAAGGGGTAATTTTGATGTAAATGGTGAAGCAGTGCATAATGGAGAAGAAGATGGTGTAAAGCTGGAAACTTTACTTCATGGGGTTTCCTGCAATACGCTTGTGGCTTTGCTTCAGGTGTACGGTTAGGATGAGCGATTGGGCTTTTGCTTGTGGGGCTTGAATGTACATAAATTTCACAAAGCCCAATGCATGGATTAACTTCTAAACCCCCTTTTCCCCCAATTTTGCTAAGATAAAATTGTATAACGACTAGCAATGAGAAGTTGGCTTAATGCAAAGTCAAAAGTCCTGAAATTCTAAGAGTTCACAGTCTGAATTATACACACCATTTGAAGAATGGAATGGAATTTCTGTACCTAGAGATTCAAGCCCTTCCTCACCCAAGACAACTTGTACAAATACATAAGCGTAAATGTAGCTGTAATCAATTCACTTTGGTCAAGTCGGTAATTTGAAACTAAAAACAATTTTGCTTACAACATATTTCAGCAGGGAATTGATAGTTGCCTTCGATTGGTTGAGGAAAATGACTATTGGAAGCATTTTCCAATTGATTTTGTGTAATCTCACACAGAATTCCGAAAACTACTTGTTACAACTAACAACAATATATTAAGCACAGTTGGTGTCGTTTTCATGGTCCATAACTCTCCTCTTTTCCATTTTAAAAAAAAAAAAAATTTTACCTTTTTCAATTTTGGATTCTGTATTGCAGGTCAATTTTATTTTTTTTAATGATACAAGAAACTGTTGTGAGACTGATAATGAGATCTACTCTTAGCTTCCTGTGAGCTAAAAATACTGATGGTGAAAAATGAAGAGATAGAATAATGAAACGAGTAAAGATGAATGAGTCATTCTGAAGTGAAAAGAAAAGAATCAAGAAGAAACTAAATTCATTTTGAAACTTTTGCTTAAGTCAATTATATTGTCACCTAATTCTGATGACACAAGACAAATGAAAAGATCTTTCCCACCACTGGAGAACTCTTGCATATCTATAAGGTATTCACTCCACAGCAGACACCCTATGCCCATTACATATGCATAAGCCTTGCAAGAACGGTTATTCAAGCACCACTATCCACATTCGTTCACATCTTTAACTTCTTCATACTTGGACTTATCTGGTAGCTTGACTGTATTCATTTTCCAAAACTTATCTGTTTCTTCACCCTGTGATGCTTCTAGACTTGTCCTTGCCAAACAACTTAGTTCAGTTCATCTAATACACCCTCCTGTCCAATTATTTTTGTTCCATTCCTCATCTGACTTTGGTACAAATCCTTCAAGGCAGTTACAAATAGGAAATTCAGATATTTTACAGATCCCAAAAGGTCCACAAGTTCCATTGACATCACATGCATTATTTGGTCTTTTCCATGTTGAATACCAGCCTATGTCTTTCCCCCAACAGATTATCTTTAGAGTTCCTTCGGATAAAATGACTGTAACTCTGTCTGTGGTGTTAAGACTTATATAGAAATACCCACTTTCTTGATCATTATTCAATACAAGGCTAACTGCTCTTGAATATGTTGAATCCATACCTGGTAGACCAATAAACTGTAGTTTATTCCACTCCCTGCTTCTCCAATAAGGCACTGATCCATTCCAAATAAAAGCTTGTGGTGGTGACCGCGGTACAATTTAAGTGACAAAATCCCCATGTGATTGATCACTATTACTTTTACAGGGTGACAAGACATGCCTCTCACCTGTTTCAAGATCATACCCAATAACTGCACCAGGTAAAAAAGTATTAACTCGGTGCTCAAAGCTTTGCCATAACCGCTGTCCAGATAAAACATCCTGTAGAACGAAGTTCCCATTATCCAAAAGGACAGCCACTGAACTATTTGATCTGTCAGAAACATTGTTTGACCAGAGAGTTACTTCATTCCCATCTACAAGCTTCAGATTTCCATCACTACCAATTTTAGACTTGCCAATGAATCAACAATCAGATTCTCTCTGTTGGCCACCCAAACAAATGTGCGAGGAGCAATGTTTTTATATGATATACCAACATACTGATTAGTGGAATTATCAGGATGAAAGAAGCTTAACTCAAAAACTTGGGCAGGGGAGATAAGGATTTCATTTTGTGATAATGGATTGGATGAAGTTATATTATAAGTTGCAGCATAGCAGTGCAAAAGAAACAAGTTCAAAAAGATGGAGATGGAAGATAATAAAATGCAAAAGTGTTGGTTCTCTGTAGGCATGTTCCTCTGGAAACATTCATAAGATCAGAGATGTCAGGATGCATATGTAAAAGCAAGTAGATAATTAACAAGTTCCATTTTATTTTAGGAAAATAATTTCAGTGTTTGTTTGAACTTTCAGTAGAAAAAATAAATGCTTCTACGGTATAAGTCAAGATCTATCTTTCAGAAATGTTCTTTCTCTATTGTTGCATAATCATCATTGTAATTTTTTTTCAATGAAAGTGTCACTCCTTGAGATTTCCAGGAAAGTCATAGGACATATTATGCAAAATTACTTTAACAAATTTCAAGCCAATGGTACTTGGAAGATCTTTGCATCTACCTTAAAAACAAACAACAATTAGGTCATACCACTGCCAAGAAATCCACACAGTTTGCCATGAAATTTTCTTTTAATTTTTCCTGAGAGTATAGGTGCAGGAAGTTGCAAGAAGTCTACAACACATTATTTCAAAATTTTCAATGCTTATATATATAAATACACACACACACACAAACATAAAAAGAAATACATGAATTTTCTTTGATTGATTGGATTGACTTTTCATTTTAAAGTAATTAACAGTTAGCAGTTCATTCTCAACCAATATTTTCTATTAAAAAGCTCAGACCCATAAGAAAACATATTAGGATTTTCTTTAATATGTAAAGAAGCACGAAACACATGATGATGTCTTTTAAGCTCTATAACTACACAAATTGTCCTTTGATTTATTGGCCTTATTTGAATAGCTTAGGCAACCTCCAACTAATATTCAGGCAAATGTTAAGAGATCAACTTACATCCTATATCTAGCATGTTAAAAAAATTGATTTTTAGTCAGACACCATGCACATATTATCTTCAGCAATGTAAAGACTACACTTAACTTTTGAATGTGGTTGCATCTAGAACAGTTTAATCAGTCGGTTTGAATACACAATATTAATATTATTAAGGCCTCTATTTTCTGGGGTGCAAGATTATTTTTGATGAGGCCGGCATGTCTAATATTTCTACTTAAAGCATGGGACTTAAGAAGCAGAAGTCAAGCTCCTTAACCTAGGATGAATTGATGTTTTCTCTGTATGGTTCTAAGTTTCTTTCCTTCAATTGCATACAAATTCAAACAGTAGTTTAGATAACTGAGTACATGGTCCCATACTGTTCCAAAGACCAATTAATTATTACTATGGTCAATATGTGATCAGTACTAGCATATCAGGTTCCTCAGTTCATCACTGAACCACATAACGCTTCAAGGCTAAGAAATGTATATTCTAACAAGAAAATTAGAAACTTTTCAAGAAGCCTGCCTAAACAGACTCTTTCCACTCTCCGCGCCTTATTTTACTTCATGTCTATCCATCACAGGAATTCATATGGGTTTCACACATACATAAACCCAGAAGCAGATTTCTTAATTCCTAGTGGCATAAATGACCCGATAAATTCCGGTTTCCCAGGTATATTAAAGAAGGCCATTTAAGATAATTAAAGCAAATCCTGAAATTTCTCATCACTTGAGCTTTATTTTATTGGAAAAAAAAGTAGCTTTCAAACAATATCAAGCAAAACCCATGAATCTTAAAACCACAAACAGAGAGAAAGTAAAAATCTTGTTCTTGGCTAACGGCTATTGATAACTCACCTCAGAATTTCCATTTGACAAAGCAGGACAAAAAATGAAAGCAAACCCAGCAGGTCCAGGGTCCTTGAGCACGAGACCCTCACGCTATTGGTGCTGAGGACCAGCATTGATGATAGGCATGGCGTTAGGGAATAACAGATATCTAAAAAGGGAAAAGAGTAATTGCGATGGAGATAGGGATGTCAACGGTATCCCTCCCATCAATTAATATTAAATTATAATTTTTTTTATTTTTTACATATAATTAATTAGTATTCAATTATAATAAATAAAATTTTAAAAATTTAAATACAATTAACTAAAATTTTTAAATATAAATTGTCCAAATATAAATAAAAATCAATTCAACATAAATAACTAAACCAACAATTAACAAATTTGTTCCAAACGTAAACAAAAATTAATCCAAGCTAAACTAAAACATAAACAAAAATTAAACAATGGAGGGGAAGATGAAAATGAAAATTGAGAAATAAATTAGGGTTAAGGTTAAATGTAAATAGGGGAATGAATTGAGTTAATTTTTATGGATTGGGTTGGTTTGGGTTAAGTAAAATTGGATTAAGTTTAATTTTAATTGAATTGAGTTTTAACTTGAATTAATTTTAATTGAATTGAGTTTTAACTTGAATTTAAGTTTGTGTTTGGGTTTGAATTTTGGTTTGAGTTTGAAAGATTTGGATTTGAGTTTAAAAGATAAATTAAATTTAAAATAAAATTAATTTATATCTATTTTAATTTTTACGGGGATGGAGATTCCCGCGGGGCTCTACGAGACGGGAAAAATTCCCTGCAAAATTTCTAAGGGGGAAAAAATACTCCTTATCCCCATCCCGCAAAGAAGAATATTCCTTCCCGTCCCATCCTCGTGATGGGGATCCTCGTTGAGTTCCGCGGGGATCGGGAAAAATTGCCATCCTAGACAGAGATGACTAAGGACAGGGAAGAATGTGTAAAGCTGGGAACTCTACTTCTTTACTATATGCTCATTGCCTCAATGGCTTAATCCTCGTCGGGAATCTGCAATTGGTTTGGCATGGTTTCAGGTCTACCGTCCTCAGCAATGGTGGGCTTATTAGGCTTTTGGTTATAGGGCTTGAATGAAACTAAAATTACAAGAAGCCCAATGGAAGGATGGGCTACTGGCCTATTAAGATCCCCCATGTCCGAAACATGTTGGATTCCCCCATGCCTATTAGTGTTGCAGCTCTAGTTGCTTGTGAGAACAGTTCAGTTTCTCATTTGAGAGTAGGCTAGTCTTGATGAAAACCGCATACATAATTGCATAATCAATCAGCCTAGTGTGATCAGATGAATGAAAGCTAGTGTTCTTCCCACCACTAACAATCTCCAGTAGTATTACGCCAAAGCTATCGAGATCTCACTTTAAAATTTAACAATCAATTTATACAGGTTAAAAGACCAGAGAATCCAATAACAATCAAATAAATGATGATAATTGATGCCAACAACAGGCTGTTTCAACATTTTCAAATTTATATATTTTTGTAGAATCACTTTCTTCTTTTCTTCCTTTTTTTTTAAAAAAATTTTATAATTTCAATCTAACAAATGAATCTCAATGACAATAATAATAGTAGTAGTAAAAAAGTGGGGTTTCACTAATCAGAAATTATCGGCCTCCAGCAAGTGACATAGTAATCTCACAGACGGAGCTTGGAGTGTTGTCATTAGGTTGATCAAATTTTGATGGACTATGGAATGTAAAAGTAGGTTCCTTTGGTTGCAAAAGCTCTGTTTCACTGCTTAGCATGGAAATCACTGCTGCCATGGTTGGCCTATTTTCCGCACGGTCCTGAACACAAAGAAGAGCAACCTGTATGCACCTCTTTACTTCAGTCGAGGAAAATGAATCAGCCAGTGCTTCATCAATTAAGTCTAGCTCCTTGCCTTTATTCCATAGTTGCCATGCCTGATACAGTGTAGTGGGGGTCAGTATTAATTTAGAAGACAAATAATGCAGAGATGCAAATTTGAAACAAGATGTGCAGTACTTACATGGGCAAGAAGGCTTAGATATTCATCGTTATAGAGGAACCTGGTAACCTTCTTGCCACTAACAATCTCCAATAGCAGAACTCCAAAGCTGAAGACATCTGATTTCTCAGAAAATATTCCAGCCAATCCATACTCAGGAGACATATAGCCACTGAAATTTATTTGGAAGAAGGAACAAGCAAATTAATATTGATAATGTTTAGCAATAGCTACTTTTCTTGTTAGCACTGTCAATAGCTAGTTGAAGTGTTGAACCACATAATTTCTTTATTCAACTTAATTCCATAACTCTTCACTGGTGTTAGCTAAATCTATTTGTTTAAGGAGAAAATCTAAGGCTTATGGCTCAGCTTATTTGTATTTGTGCACTTTCTGCTGCCAATTTTTGAGGGTGATATTTAATTCATGGAGAATAAAAGTTGAATAATAAAAGTTAAATATGTTCAAGAAGAAGAACTGTGCTTACAGTGTTCCAACCACCTTGTGAGTCTTTGCCAAATATTGTGTCCCTTCAAAGATCCTTGCCAATCCAAAATCTGAAATTTTTGGGTTCATTTTTTCATCTAAGAGAATGTTGCTGACCTTCAAATCACGGTGTATAACCCTTAAAGAAGAATCACGATGGAGATAAAGAAGCCCACGAGCAATCCCATGGACGATGTTGAAACGTTCTGCCCAAGATAGTTCTGCTCTTTTTGTTGGACTTGGATCTAATAAAATGCATCCATTGGAAACATGATTAACATTTACAATTCTCTTTTGATGTAATGTATCAAAAGTTATCAGGAAAATTCAGGCTGGCAAGATTACTAATCCTGCAGGCTTAAATCTAGGAACAATATTCAATGCAGGGAAAAGATCACGACTTTATGGTTAAGAAGATGATATGATGAGATGTGATATGATGCAACTAAGGAAGAAAAGAAAAATTCTTGGTGGAACCTACCAAACAAAAAATTGTCCAAGCTTTTGTTGACCAGAAATTCATAAATTAGTAGTCTTTCTTCTCTTTCAACACAGCAACCAATTAGCCTGACAAGATTTCTGTGTTGTAGTTTGGAAATCAACCTGACTTCATTCTTGAACTCTTCTATGCCTTGCCCTGAGCTACTAGAGAGTCTCTTGACTGCTACATCTGTTCCATCGTGTAGCTTTCCCTAACAAAAATCACAAATTCATCAAGCTGTGCTGTCTAGGTACCTTTGTAGGCTGCAGAACTATGCAGCACTCTTTCTTTGAAAAAGATATTATTACTCACCTTATAAACTGGCCCATATCCCCCTTGCCCAAGTTTATTAGCCATCCTGAAGTTGTTGGTAGCAACTACTATGCTATCAAAATCAAACAAAGGTAGCTCCTGTGGTTCTCCTCTGTTTGCAATGCTTCTCAACGGAGTTTCCAGCGAAGTGTCCCTAGGACTATCCCTTCTAGCATCTGGATCAAAGTTTTCCGATGTTTTGTATTTTTTACCTGATTTTTCAGATTCAAATAATGAACTCATCTATTCCAAGCCATGAAAGTAAGAGCATATAAAAAAATAACAAAAAAGAAAAGCTATTGTATGGAACAATGTTTTCCGAGGAGAAAGTGATATAGGGCTTACTCCTTTTAGTGTGAATTCCATCGTTTGAACACACAAAGAATTTCAGACAAGTTCCCTCTTGTCCTTAGAAATTGAGAAACGATGGGTATAAATCCATTAATTTCATTTCTCATTCATCATTCAACTGATTTGACATTTTACCCTCATGGCTTTTAGCTCAAAAGTCATAAATGAGCAATCAGTAGTTGTCACCCAATAATAAGTTAGGAATTTAGTCATCCAGAAAATTGTTTCCGAAATTCATCTGCAGGACAATTATTGTTTCCTACAAATATCCTAGAATTATTATAGAGAATGATTCTCCACCAAATTACTAGTTCATTGTGGACCTTGCTTTTGCAGGACCAAAGTGAACGGTATTCTATCCAAAAACCGAGTAAAACTTTCCATCTATACAAACCGAGTATCAAGATTCAAGATCAGTTTCTTACCAACTTTTTTTGGTCTCTGCCAGCATAAACCATAGACTAAGGCACCCAAGATGATGATACAAGAAACAGTTGTGAGGCTGATAATGAGATCTACTCTTAGCTTCCCATCAGCTGAAATGGGAACAACGAGTGGATAAAATTGTTGGAATTATTGTTAGAAATGTGGCATTCAAATCTGCAAAAAATGTTGAAATGAAGCTGGCATGAAATGGCAGTAATTAGGCTGAAAATTGACAGCAAATGAAGCTGTAATTTGACAGCAAATATGGCAGCAATTTAGCTAATCTGATCAAAATGAAGCTGTCAAATGACAGCAAAAATGTGCAGCAATCTACGCTGCAAATGTTGATGGAGATGAAGCTATAATGAACGGTAATCGAAATGCCAATGCAAATGCAAAAGGCATGCAAATGCAAATGAAATGAGAGGCTGCAAAGAGGCTGCAGAGCTGCCAAAGGATGCAAGCATGCAGCAAAAGTGGCTGTTATTTATTTTAAATTTCAAATGAATTTTTATTGTTTTTTTAATGTATAATAGTTGATTGAATTTTGAATTGTTTTAAAAATTATATTTCCCTATACATAGAAGGATTGATTAATAAGAAAATTTGAGTTAAAGTGACATACTTCTCTCCATTTTAGTTGGGTTCTGCTCTTCATCTTCCTCCTGATTCTCTCCATCCATTACTTTGTGAAAAAAAAAAAAAAAAAACAAAAATAATGAAATGAATAAAGATGAATCGATCATCTGAAGTAAACGGGGAAAAGAACTAAAATCATTTTTGAAAATATTGCTTAAGCCAGTAATAAGTAATGATTAATTAAAAATAAATACAGAATATAAAATTTTATTAATTAATTATAACATTTTCATTTTATTAAAAAAATTAGACTTGTTAAATTTAATTGAAAGAGTGATATTTTTTTAAAAAAAATAATGATAAATAAGATGAAAATTTAGAATCAAAATTTGAGACTAATTATTTAAAATATTAAAAAGTAAATTATATATTATTTAATAATTAATTATTTTATTTTTTTAAAACACAGAATATTATCTGTATTAACTAAGTTAATAACATAATATAAATCACGTTATTGATTCCAAAATTTTGTTTTTCGTATTACTATTTTCAAAATAATACAAATGAATTTAGTTTTAATTAGGTCTAAATTCAATAAAAAAAACTAAAATTATTTAAAAATAAAGAAATTCATAATATGGAAAAGATTAAATACCAATTTCAATCCCTTAATTTAAAGATTTTATATAATTTTTAACTATTTAAAGTTATTTTTTTAGTTTTTTAACTCTAACAACTTTACCAACCATTTTGGAGTGCAATTAGGGCCGATAACTTAATCTACAGTGACATTTTTTCTATTTATTTTAATGATATAGATAATACAACTGGTAAACAATAATTATATAGACTCAAACTATGCCACCAACTTAATGACAGTTTAAAAATGAAGCCTACTGAATGGCATTCAAAATTAATGATTATACAATTTTTTTTATTAAAATTTTAAATATTACATATTATTTAAATAATTTTATTTATTTATTTAAAATTTATAATATTAAATATATTTATTTACTTAATAATACATAAAAATTATATAAAAAATTATTTCTATATCATAATTAATTAATTATATACCCTAAAAATGAAAAACAAAATTAATTAATAATATACCCTAAAAATGAAAAACAAAATTGAGCTTTCACTCGAAGAACCCGACGATTGCCAGGGTACTGTAGGTTAAATGCATCATCAATTTTGATAGACATTACTCTAAGCCTATTCGCAACAAATTCATCATCAATTTTAACACGGGTTCGGCCAAAAAAAAAAAAAATACGTTGGGTTTAATGAAAGAGGATGCACAGGAGAGGGGAAGAGAGAAAGAAGGGGATGGATGATTGCAGAAGGTAGAAGGGATGAGTTTGAAGAACAGATTCGTAAGAACCCAAAATTCTAGGTTTCAAAACCTAAAAATCTGGGTTTGTACAAACCTAGATCTAGGAAGAATGAGGAAGGAAAGGGAGAAAAGGGAAAGGAGGAAGAGAAAAAGAGAGAGATCCGAAAAGGTAGCAGGGAGAAAGTGCTGGAGAAAAGAGAGCGAAAGGGAGTAAGATTTGAATGATAGTGTTGAGGAACATGAATGGAGAAAAAGAAGGATCGAGGGAAGAAGATAAAGTTGATAGGGGTATAAGTGTAATTTGAAAGTATTTTAAATATTAAATAATTGTAATGAGTTTAAGAAGCTGACTGGGCTTTTTTTATTCCACGTAAGTTGATTGTCTGATGTGTTATCAACATGTCATAAAAAATGCCGTCTTGAGCGGATTTCACGGCTATGCTTGTTGCTGAAGGGCTTGTTTGTTGCTGTTTGTACGAGTTTCAGTATTTTTATATTATTTATATTTTACAAGTTTAAAATTTTTATTTAAAAATTTATATTTTTAATTTTTTTAACATTGAAAAGATTATAAATAATAAAAATTTAAAAATTTGAAATTTAAATTTTTTATAAGCTCTTTTTTACTCATTTTTTATTTAATTTTTACTTATTTTTTTATTTTTAAAAGTAACTTTTAAAATTTGCATTTAATAAAAATTTAAACTTATCACTCATAATAATACTTAAAAAGTAAAAACTCTCGCAATACACCAAATAGGCCCTAAGTAGAGGAGGAACTAAAATTGTGTGATTTTTTAAATTAAGGAATAAAAATAGTATTTAAAATAATTGTAAGATAAAAATTATAAAGTTAAAGGGTTAAAATTACAATTTAACTTATGAAAAATGTAAAAATTAGAAAATAGTTAATTTAACAAATCATTTATTATTTTTTTTTTCAGTTTTATCTATTATTTTTGAATACTTTTAATCCTATCTATTATCTTTTATATTTATTTCAAATTCATTTAATCCATTGTTTTTAATGGAAATCTTCTTATTCTACAAAAAAAATATTTATTCTTCTAATTATATTTCTTTTGATCTTTTAGTTTTTAAATTTATATTTATTGTAAAAATAGTTTTTATTTTTATCTTATTAAATATGTTTTTCAAAAAACTATTTTACAAGGTAGACTATATGTAGTTCGCCTATAAAATTATTTAAATGCCTTTAATTTTATTTTTATATTATTTTTTAAAGGCATTTAAATAATTTTATAAAATAGATTATATACAATTTATCTTGTAAAGCAGACTTATTTTAAAAATTTTTCATTTTGAATTTATTAAGTTTCTCTATTTGAATTAACTTAGTTATTCAAGTTTATTACAAATTTTAACTAATCTATCTTTATAAAATATTTTTTAAGTTATCATATTTTATGAAAATTATAGTATCATTTTTTTAAAACTTAAAAAACTACTCTTTCTTATTAAATTTTAAAAAATTTTGTATAGTAAATTATTTTAAAATATTTTTCAAAGTTTATAGAATATTAAAAAAAAAAATTTTAGATTAAAATGAAATTAAATTGATAATTAATAGAATAAAAATTGAATTAAGCCAATTAGAGAAAGGAGAAAATAGAACTTACCGAGGTCAGAAGCAGCCAGTCGAACAGACAGATTCTGACCGCCGGAAGGGTACTCTCTGATGTCCAGAAGTTCACCGAACCAGATGACACACCCCGTGCCACCTTTTCTGATATCGGCGTTAGCATAAGCAGTGCAAGAACAATTCCTCAGGCACAGATCTCCGCAGTCCTTAAGACTTATATGCTGGTCCACAAACGCCGAGGTGGTTTCCGGCAGCTTCACATTTCTCAGGTGCAAGAATTTGTCTCCCATGCACTCCAAATTCGTCTTCCTCATACACCCATCTGACGCATCTCTCAAATTCCACGCCTGCAGGTTCCTCGGCTCGAACCCTTTCGGACACTTGCAAACAGGGGATGCATTCGTGTCGCAGATACCGTACGGACCGCACTCTCTGTAATTGTCGCACTGGTCCTTCGGTGCGTACCAGAATGGGTTCCATTGTTTGGAGTCCGGAATCCAGGTTAATCTCTGAAGAACCCCGTTGGGATTTACGATCAGCCTGGAGAACAGATTATTGGTCGTGACGGAGAATGAGTAAGTCACCTCGTCTTGACTGGTGACAAATTTGAACTGGATATAATCCAGAGGTTTCATCTCCGGAGTGCCGCTGAACCTCACGCCGTTCCAGGGCCCACTTCTGTATTCTATCTTTTTATTGTCCCAAAGGAAAATTTCCGGAAATCCACGGTAATCAAGCTTGAACGAGAAATCCCCTGAAGATGGATCTGCTGGGCTTCTCCATGACGTTAAGTACCTGTCAAAAAAGATCAACAAGAGCTTACCTGAGTTGGCAGAACCTTAATTCTAGATTTCTGTCAAAAATTCAAACTTCATACCTGTCAAAATCTCTGTTCAGATCCCAACCCAGCTTCATATCCGGCAACAGGGTATCCGTCGGAAAATCAAAACTTTGCCAAAGATAGTTGTTGGGATCCTCTGCTTCTCTTAGGACCAAGTTTCCAGAATCCAACAGCATCGCAGCAGTGTTACTACCTTTCGTTATGTTCGATGACCAGACCAGTTTCTGATTTTGGTCCAGAAGAACAATGTTCTGATCTGCAACCTTGAAAACTCCGAAGGAGTTAGAAAGTGGGTTGTCCCTGTTGGCAACCCACACGTAGGTTCTCTCAGGAATGTTCTTGTACCAAATCCCGACATACCATTTGTCTGAACTTCTGGAACTGAAGAATCCCAACTCGAAAATATCGCCGGAGGAGATGAGGGTTTGGTCATTAGTGACAGAATTAGTTGCAGTCAAGGTATTTATGGAGAAGGAGATTGTTGGGAAGAAGATAAGCAGGGAAGTGAAGAACAAGAGGACGCAGTTTGAAACTCTCATTCTTCAGTTCTGTGGGGTTTGTGGAGATTTCTGTGTGGAGAAAATATATGGTTCCTTAATGTTTCAGACGTCTCGTGTCGTTTGATAGGAGAGGATATCGACTCTGCTTTGTAATTTTATTTTTTTGGTCCTCTCTGTTTCTTCTTTGTCTTTATGGTTTGGAATTAAAATTTAAAAGCAATGAAAACCCTAATTTCTTGAATCAACGTTCTACACGTCCTGGACGGAAGTGGTTTCACTCTCTTCCTAAAATAGGAACACCGCTGGAGACAAAACGTTCAATTCAACCCCCAGCTCTCCTTTCCCCCCAGTCCCTTAAAAATGTAATAGTAGTAGACAATTATGTTTGTTTAAAAAAAAAAAATTTTGTAGTAATGAACTATTGATTGGAGTGACAAGAGCTTAATTTTTTTTAAATAAAGTTTTGAATTTGAGTTTTATAAATAGAAAAATAGACGTTGAAAGAGTTTTCCCTCATATGAGGTCTGATGAAATTTAATTATAAATTAATCGAAATTCAATATGATTATCGAATGTTATGAGGTTAATAAAAAAAAAATCTTGAATTAAATTTAAAAAAACGAATGAGAAAAGGATGAGCCTGATTTTGGGCTTCGTGAACTTCAGTCGCTAAGGTCAATAATGAAATTAACCAATAGTTTAGAATATTTAGCTGAAATGAAACTATACACCCAGATAAGTCCAAGTGTCAAGATTCAAGATCAGTTTATTATTTTTTTTTATCTCTGCCAGCATAAACCATAGACTAAGGCACCCAAGATAATGATACAAGAAGCCGATTGTGAGGCTGATAAGGAGATCTACTCTTAGATTCCCGTGAGCTGAAAATACTGCAGGAGAAAAATGAGGAGATAGAGTAATGAAATGAATAAAGATGAATCAGCTATTTGGAAGTGAAAAGAAAAGAAGGGAGAAGAAACTAAATTCATTTTGAAAATATTGCTTAAGCCAATTATATATTGGCACCCAATTCTTAGGATGCAAGACGAATGAAAAGATCTTCCCCACCACTGGAGAACTCTTGCATATGTCTTCACTCCACTCCACAGTGGACACCCTATGCCCTTTACATATGCATAAGCCTTGCAAGAAAGATTGCTTGACCAGAGAGTTACTCCATTCCCATCTACAAGCTTCAGGTTTCCATTACTTCCAATCTTTAGAGTTTACAATGAATCAATAACTGGATTCTCTCTGTTAGCCACCCAAACAACTGTGCGAGGGCAATATTTTTATACCATAGTCCAACATACTGATTAGTGGTATTATCAGTACAAAAAAGGCCTAACTCAAAAACTTGGGTAGGGAAGATAAGGATTTCATTTTGTAATAATGGATTGGATGAAGATATATTATAAATTGCAGCATAGCAGTGCAAAAGAAACAAGTTCAAAAGGATGAAGATGGAAGATAATAAAATGCTGAAGCGTTGGTTCTCTGGAAGCATGGTTCCCTGGAATTGTTTATTCATAAGATCAGAGATGTCAAGATTAATATGTAAAGGCAAGTAAACAATTAATTAATATATCGAAAAAAAAAGAAGAAAAATATTTTTAAAACTATGTTGGTTTAATAAATTTTTATTAAAAAATATCAAAATAACTTATTTTTTAAAACAATAATGATATTGTTTTAGTTTTTTGTTTTTTGTAATGTTTTATTAAAATAATATAATTTTAAAGTATTTTTATTTAATTTTTATTAATTCAACTAATAAATATTAATATGTTATCACTTAATATATTTCATTTTATTTTAGGAAAAGAATTTGAACTGCCGGGAGGTAAAAAAAAAAAAAAAAACCTTCTAAAATTACTAGTCAATAACTATTTTGCAAAGAAATTCAAAGACGAATAATTGTTGGCAAACCGTGTGAATGCAAAGAAATTCCTTTCCTTGACAGTGTCCGGGGAGTAAAGCGTACAAGATGTCCTATCAATTTTGTTGAAATTTCAAGGATGTCAATCTCGTTGAATAAAAATAAGGTTAAATACCCATCGTCTTCAACTTTCATTTCTAAACTTAGTCCATCCTTTAAGTTTTAACTTAAAAAAGGACCCAAATCATCTTTAAAGTTTGTTTTCCCATAACCAAATTGGTCCTTATGTGAGGGAAGTGCCCACCTAACATGTTAAAGTCTCCACAATTTATTTCTTTTAATTTTCAAATGCTTATGTGGAAAAAACACAATACTTAATTGATGACATAGCAAAACTTATTAAATATGATATTGTTAAGAAATGAGAATAGAAAAAAAAAATCTTAGTTGACTCATTCTTAATAAATTTAAAAGATTAAACTAATTGATTGTTGTGTTTAATACAGATAATTAAGAGAGTAATTAACTCATAATTAATTCGATCATTATAACCTCATAAAATATATTAAATTAATTGATTCATTAAACAATTTAGGAAAAAAAATTAAATTCTTTTGATTGGGTTTTTTATTTTCTCAAACGAGAATCCCAAATTAAATTTTATGTTCATCTTCTCTAGTGAAAAACCCATATCAGAATTTGGGTTTCTTGATCAAGTCTAGCTAGCAAAAATCTCATCACCAGAAAGCAATAAGAACAACCCACAAAGTCAAAATCAAGAATCCATTTCAATACTCCAAATCCCAATACTTGGACATGAAATAAAAACCCCAATATTTCCTCATACAAATGGGAAAAACTTGACTTGTCTGCTGCGATTTCCAAAGGAGAAAAGGAAGGATCAAGTTGATCATCATTCACTTTGTTTGAAAACCCAGGTCTCTAAGTCTTTACTATGGCGATGACATTGGCAAGACAACCAGAGATCAACAATAAACGAGCTCCTTGTTTTGGAGACCTTATCAGATTGGTCGGCAATGTATTTCACAAGGGCCACCGCTAGATCCTCCTTTGAATCAGAGATGCTCACCTTCTTCCCTTCACTTTTCTCTATTGTCATCCTTGTGTCTGCGACGGTCGCCTTCGTTCTCCACCCAAACCCCCTTGATTTCGTTTCAACAACAGAAACCCCTTTGAAAACTGCCGAGTTTGCAAGGGTTTTCAACGTCGCTGACCTTAAGAACAACAAAGCATAGCACGAAGTGCGATGGAATCTGGAAGAAGAAAGCAGAGTGCGGAGTGGGGTGGATAAATGAAGAGAGGAAAATGGATTTGAAGTATTGAAATGGATTCTTGATTTTGACTCTGTGGGTTGTAACTAAGTATTTAAAAATTAAAAGAAATAAATTGTGGAGACTTACATGTTAGGTGGGCACTTCCAACACGGAAGGCCAATTTGGTTATGGGAAAACAAACTTTAAGGATGATTTGGGTTCTTTTTGAAGTTAAAGGACGAACAAAGTTTAGAAATAAAAGTTGAAGGACCAAATTGGGTATTTAACCTTATTTTTTTGTCAGTGACGTATTAAATTTAAACCCAACTTGTTGAGGGAAACTGGAAAAGGGACCGTTGGGTCGAGCCGTGAGACATAGTAATTATGCTACCAAGTCAAAAACGTTGGCCCACCAGGGCTATGGTGGACTTGTCTTAGAAAGAGACATCAGATTTAGACTTAAAATAGCAAACTAGCAAGCTTGCCGGTCATTGCGGGACTTGTGTTCTGATGGACATGTGTGTAACTCGTTGAGAGTGCGGGTAAATACTGCAAAGTGTAAATTATATGAATAATCATTCATATTTATCATAACTTTTTATTTGGTTATTTTTTTAAATTTGTGAATTTAATCACTTATTTTTAATTTAATTTCTGCTCGTTAATAATGTAACTAACTTCATTCAGAATATTCAATTATTTTATATTTCAGTAGCATAAATTTTGATGAGTTTTATTTGTTGGCGCAGCGGTTAAAGTGCAACTATCTACACTACACCAATCCCTACCAAATCCTATTCAATAAAGCCATCTGCCTCAAAACTTGTAATAGGAAAGGGCGTGGAAAAGCATACGATTGTTGCTTCAATGGATCTAAAAAAGTTAGATGGAGGAAAAGGTAAATGACAGAAAAGGCAGACGAAGGAGTTTAGCAAAAGAATTTAGCATTTTAGCACCTTTTCACTAAGCTCTTTGATATGAAAATTTTACTCTCTCTCCTCTTTTTTTTTTTTTCCTTTTTTTTTTTTTTGGGTTTACTGCAAGTAGACTGTATAAAGTGGAAAAAGTGAAAATGCTTTTAGATTGGTTCATATTTAATATTTTCATTTGATGCATATTACATTTTATTTTGTTGGAAATTATATTATAAACACATTATTTTGTTTTATGTTTTATTTTTAAGGAAAATCTATATCTATATCTATATATATTATAAAGGAGGAACCACCGAGAGAAAATCTATATATATTATAAAGGAGGAACCACTGAGAGAAAATTTGCCACGTGTCACGTTTATGTCTTTTTGAATTTTCTTTTCTTTTGGCATGTGGC